ATATATATATATATATATTCATATTCCAAAAAAAGTAAAATGGACAAATGTTTTAGTATCTCAGTGTCCTAATGTGGTAGAGTTTTGGGTTTTTTTTTCTGTGATAAAGGTATAACCCTTTCATTTGCTCAATGGATATTTCAGATTTTTAAAGAGACCATAGGAAAGAACACCGTTTACAGAGATTTTTATCTGGTGCATTCTCTCAGCAGCGTGTGACGACTTGACTTGGCTACTGATAAAGAGCGCCATGCGCGACACAACTGCCAGGCCTTTTCCTTCACCTAATTGGTATACTTCAGTTTCGCTTATCAATTGAGCATCCCAAGTTCTACAAAATGATTTTTTTGAACAAGTGCAATAGTGTATCTTTTGTTATTTAACTTGGTGGAGGCAGGGCAGAAGGGGGCGTATAAATTAGTGAGCCTTTGAGTTGGGGCCAGAAAATATGGCCTTAGAGCTCCTTTTAATGATTCATTTCCTTTTTGGTCATATAAACTGCACAATTGAAATGAAAGGGGAAAATAATTGAAAATTTCACTTTTAGGTGCCAATAACACATTGCACTAAACTGATGGAAGAAGTTATCCAAAGTACTGTATAACATCTTGTTTATAATTTAATGTTTTCTAAAGTGAAAAATGTTAGTGGTTTTCCAAACAGCCAAATAAAAATAATTCTTTGTAAATAAAAACACTTAATAATACCAGTTGTCTGTTTCTTCTTGTTTTGAGTTTTTTAATTGGCAGACTATTTACTGATTGAATGATAGAAGACAATGATATTGCCCAAATTATTATGCTTTTTAGGTTATAAAATATGAAATCAGAATGCAAAGAGAAAGGACCAAATCATATAACCCATATACCTTAGCAAATTGCTTTAGTTTTCTTATACCTCAGTTGTAAATATTTGCCTCAAATCCTTTTATTAAAAGGCAGGATAAGCCATAAGTAAATATATAAATATATATATAAAATATAAATGAAAAGCCTTTTTTTTTACTCGTGTTGATTTTGTTAATTTGTGACATTTTACACACATTCTAATAACCTTTTCTAATAGAGAAAACTATAAAGAAAAAATGAAATGCAAGATTAAAAATTAGTCTTCCTACAAAATTACAGAGAATATGCTTAACGCCTTCTTTTCAATACTCAGGAAACTCTTAGCTGGGAGACTGAGGTTTTAAATACATACTTTAAGCCAAAGGCAAAAAAAAAAAAAGTTGCCTTATCTTAGAGATATTCCCTTATCTCAGAGATTCTTCTTAATTATCCGTAGGAGATCTGATCAAGTTCAGATTTTCTGAGTATGTTAAGAAATTAAACCTCTTAAAACCTATTTGAGGTGGGGATTGGAGGAAACAGATAGGTATGAGATTCCATGTCCAGTTTATTGATTTCTTTGATAGATTTTAGAGTACCTACTATGTGTGTTGCTCTGGGACACAACAGAAAGCAGATTTCCTTTTGTTGGGTTTCAATCTAGAGAGGAAGATGGGCATTTACCAAAGCCATGTAAATAAATGCAAAATTGCTATTCTGAAAAGTGGTATGTGGTACCTTGAAAGCTTTGAAGTGTGTTGAATTCCATGCCTCCCATGATCACACCAAAATTGCAACTAAATTATAGAACTACCATCATCAAAAAACTCAAGACTAACAGAAGTCCTATAAGGATATAAAGAAGTCACATCAAGACTGGTAGAACAGGTCTATGGCCATGCTACCCTGAATAAGCCCAATCCCGTCTGATCTTGGAAGCTAAGCAGGGTCGGGCCTGGTTAGTACTTGGATGGGAGACCACTTAGGAAGACCAGGTGCTGTAGGTGTAAAAAAATAAGGGATTGTAAGCTGACAAGGTCCTTGCAATCTGTGAGGTCAACCTCACCTAAAAAAAGGGTTGCCTCACCTAAAAAAAAGGTTGCCTCACCTAAAAAAAAAAAAAAAAAGACTGGTAGAACAGATGCAGAATGGGCAGGTCCCAGAATGGGCAGGTCCCACTCTTGGCTGCAGAGGCCTCCCTTGAAGAGTGAGGGGTCACAGCCCCACAATGAGCTCCTTAGCTCAGGCCACCAGTGGCAGGAAGAGAAGTCTCCATACATTTGGCTATAAAAACCTTTGGAGATTGTGGCTGAGAGGCAAAGGGCTATTAAAGACCAATGTGCTGCTCTTAAAGGGCCAGCACACAAACTCACAAATTTACTCACTCTAAGCTCTAGTACAGAGATAGCTGCAAAAGTGCCAGGGACATACAGGAACTAAATTGACTAACTTCAGGATGAGGGCTGAAAGGGTGGGGGTCAGGGAAACTCTCTGGGGACAGAAGCAGTGCCACTGTTCCATTGTGGAGCTCTCATAACACCCAGCCAGCTTGGTGCAGGTAGGTGCCAAATCTGTGCTCTCCGTTAACCTGGCTAACACTATTCACCCCCTCCTAGTGATCTGCAAACCTCACATGAGTGGTGACTACCCTAAGCCTGTGCTGCAGACTTTCTCAAAGGTCTGCAAATCCAACACAAATGACAGCACCCCTCAGATCGTGCTACAGACTCTAAGGTCCATAAACTCTACACAAGTTGCAGCCAGCCTTGGCATATGTTATAGCTCCTATTAAGTGACACCAAGCCCAGCACAAGCAGCTACCAGTTTCAATTTGTATTGTGATTCCCACCAGGTGGTCCCAAGTCTTAAGTGGTGGCCAGCCTTAGCCTGTTATGTAGTTCTAACTAAGCAGCCACAAGTCTGACACAAGTGGTAGCTAGCCTCAGGGTGCATCATAGTACCCATCAAAAAAATCCAAAGCCAGGCACAAGTGGCAGATGACCTTGGTTCACAGCATAGCCTCTCCCAAGCCCAGCACAAGCAGCAAACCAACTGCTCCTACCAAAGCGGCCCCAAATCCGGCACAAGTGGCAGCTGACAGCCTGCACTGGAGCCCCTCTCAAGAGGCTCCACACCCAACATACCAAGTGGCTGGCCTCAAATAACACTAGAGTCCACTGAACTATCTCCACAACCACCACACCTGAAGGGTAGCCTCAGCCAGCACCAGCGTCCTGCTAAAGCAACTCCTGCTCTATGTGGTAAGCCCACAACAGCTCTTCTGCTGTAGCTGTGACCAGCCTTCACAGCCAGTCAGCCCGAGGGTCAAACACACTCATTGATGTGTCAGCAGATATTGAGGCTTAATTATAAAGGAGGGTATACGCGAGCCACACAGATAACACCTGACCCAGGTGACCAAGGGGTCTGTGCTACTGGGCTCCACAGAACATTTTCTACTTAAGGCCATGCTGTCAAAATCGGGAGATTTAGCAGATCTACCAAATACACAGAAGCAAACACAGGCTGTCGGCCAAAATGAGGAGAAAAATAAACATATCCCAGTCAAAAGAACAGGACAAAACTCCAGAAAAAGAACGAAACAAAATGGAGACAAGCAAACTACCAGATACAGAGTACAAAACACTGGTTATAAGGATGCTCAATGAACTTGGAATTAGGATAAAAGAACTCAGTGAGAATTTCCGCAAGGGATAGGAAATACAAAAATAATATAGAAAACAAGAGCCAATCAGAACTAAAAAATACAATAACTGAAATGAAGAATACACTAAAGAGAATCAGCATTGGGTTAGATGAAGCAGAGGATTGAGCTATCTAAAGACAAGGTAGCAGAAAACACCCAATTGAGCAGCAAAAAAGAACAAAGGATAAGAAAAATGAGGATAGTTTAAGGAACCTCTGGGAGAGACAACATCAAGCACAACAACATTTGCATCATAGGGGTCCTAGGAGGAGAAGAAGAGAGAAAGGAATTGAAAACCTGTTTCAAGAAATAATGACTGAAAACTTTCCTAACCTGGTGAAGGAAATAAACGCAGAAGTCTAGGAAGCATAGAGCATCCCAAACAAGATTAACCCAAAGAGGCCCACACCAAGACACATAATTAAAATGCCAAAGGTTAAAGAGAAAGGGAATCTTAAAAGTAGCAAGAAAAAAAGCAGATAGTTACACATAAGGGAACTCCTAATAAGACTGTCAGCTGATTTTTCAATAGAAACTTTGAAGGCCAGAAGGGATGAAAAGAAAAACCTACAATGAAGATTACTCTACCTAGCAAGGCTATCATTATGAATTGAAGGAGCGATAGTTTTCCAGACAAGAAAAAGCTAAAGGAGTTCATCACCAGTAAACCAATACTATAAAACAATGC